TCTCTCTCTCTCTCTCTCTCTCTCTCTCTCTCTCTCTCTCTCTCTCTTTCTATCTAAAAGAGTGTCCATAGAAGCCAATGAGAATCTATATGCTGGAGCAAGAAAGAAGTCAGGTCTCACCTTCTCCTGGAAGCTCCTGATGTCGTCATAGCCAACCCACTCCTTCCCTTTGTAGGCATACGGGACATGCTGATAGCCAATCCAGTCCTTTCTTGCTTTCTCAAGAAAGGAGCAAATCTGCCAAGAGGACCACAGGTGAGGTCCATGAAGTGCCATGGAGAGAAGCACCATGCTCTGGGACAGAGAATGCCAGAGACCTCCCCAGGGAATGAGGATGTAGGCTTTCCCACCGCTCACAAAGGACCTCTTTTTCCCCCCTCTCTCTCTCCCAAGTAAGTTTCTCCCTTTACCTGTTTCTTCCTTGGTATTCATGATGGAAAAAGAGAGAGAACAAGGACTGCATGAGCTGCCTAAGAGGCCAAGCCAGGGTCTGGTAAATAATACCAGCATCAAAGTTCTAAGAGGGTCATACCTAACCCTTGACCAGACCTGTACCTTTTTCAGAGTATTTTCATAAACAAGTCTCTCCTCAGTTCATTTGCTCTCAATACAAACTTGCCCACATAGGCAGTAATTAAACTAGCCTTGCTCCTCTAGAGATTTAAAGGTCCTGAAGGCCGGGACAACCAGGTTGCTACAATCCATCAAGTATGGTGCCCACTGGATGCTCGACATTGTGCTGGAAACTATACTGCAAGGAAGTAAAGGGGTTCAAGTTGTGCTACAGGGTTAATGTCTAAGCCATTCTTTTTTCTTCAGAGCTTTAAATATTCTATTAAAGTCTCTTTGACACATGATGTCCTTCCAAAACAGTATTTCAACTATGCCACCATTCATAACCATGCTTCACTGAATTAACAGGAAAATACCTCCAGCCATCCAGCATAGAGCAGGGTTTGGAGGGACACTCAGCACTTCCACTACTCCCTATGGGAAGGTTCTAGTTCTGCATCTGGTGCCCTCCACATCTGTGTCTTTGCACGCCAGTCCTATACCTGTGCATCAGGATTCTCCTGTGCTTTGAATCTGCTCAGAGTCCACCTGCTCCATAAGACTTTTCCAGATCTCTATTGCCACACACTCAATTGCCTCTTATCATCTCCTCTCATGTCTTACATTCCCTTGGGTACATGTCTATTAAGGGGGGCATTGGAGTAGAGGAAAAAGAACCAGTAATAAAAGATATATTGGAATTGCCTCAAAATAACCTTGTTAATGGGAAAGCAGGAGGCAGAGAACAGAGAAGAAATAGGATTGGCCATGGATTAATAACTGAGGTTGGGAGCTACACAGAAGTCCCTAACCCCATTACCTCATAATAAGCCAAGATGCCAGCTTGCTTGGTGTACTTCCCTGGAGACGCTGGTCCTGTTGCTATAGCCTGCAACCCATTGTCAGAGGGTTCGAGGAGGCGAAAGGTGCGCCCATAGGTGGGGAACCCCATCATGAGCTTCTCTGAAGGTGCCCCAAGGTTCCGCCAGTAATTCATAGCATATGCCTAAAGGTAGAAGAACATAACCCTCCCTGTTACTAAGTGCCAATGTCCTGGGCTCAGTGAAAGATGTCTGGGCCACTTGAGATCTTCCCTTCTCTTACCGAAGATTTCGGGTCCTCAGGAAAAGAGTACAGGGGGCTATGGTGTCCTGTGAACTTTTCCCAGCTTCCATGAAAGTCATAAGACAAGACATTGATAAAATCCAGGAGTCTGAAAGACAAGGCACAGAAAAGGAGATGCAAAGGTTGGGCCGGGCAAAGTTTTAATTCAGATCTTCATAGTGCTAACTAGCTACAGAGGTGCACGTTGGTCACCTGGGCGTCCCTGCTCTTCCTGCCTATGGGGCCTGTCCGGGCTGTGCCAGACACTGAGAGACGGAAAAAACTGCTGGTTAGGGATAGCTGTGCATCAGGGTCTATGAATCCTGAGAGTATCTGAGGAGGTAGCCAGGAATCAGACAAGAAAGCAAATACATACAGGCCTTACTTGTGCTATCAGAGGTCTGCAGAAATCACCACGAGTAAGAGCAGCACTGTCCTATAGCAGTAGAAACGCTTTTGTCCTTCTACCCCTCAAGGAGCCACTGGAACCCACCCCTCCAGAAGACTTTCATAATGATCAGGTGGACATGAGCATGTGCCAGGTCAGAGGTGTAAGGATTTACACTGATCACCTAATTTAATTTTATCTGGCCAATTCCCTAAGTACCATGCCTTTTTCTATTTTCAAGCGGAAGAATTTGAAACTCAGATGGCGTAACTAATTTGCCTAATGTCACCCAGTTATGTGAAGGCAGGACTCTCAATCCTGCCTAGCTACAAGATTCACACTAACCTAGAATGAATGAATGAATGAATAAAAGATTCCCACAAACCAACTCCGTTCTCATTGGGTCCCTTGCCTTTCCTCCCACACTGAAACAGCTCTCTCTAGTGCAATCACAATCAAAAACCCCACATCCTCTCTTTTTTCTGAATCTGTTTCCTCATTTGTAAATACATTATTGTTGAGATTCAAGAAAATTTGCACACGGCCAGCTTGTTCAGAAAGATTTATGTGCTGTTCATGTTTACCTTTTTAACTTTTGCCATGGAGATCTGATCTGAAAACTCTGTGTGACTAGGAATTCCTGTTTGGGGCTTTGTGGCTCATGGCTGTCAGCTCTTCTGCCCTCTGCTGCCAGCATTTGCTCTGCTCTGGGGAGGATGGGGTGGGGTCCATGGCATTCTCTCCTGTGAGATCCAGCAATGGGCCATGCAGAAGATTCTACCGATGATAATGTTGTCGTGGGCCAGTACTACAGCATCTCCCCGTGATCTTCTAAAGAAAGCCCAAGGTATGTGTAATGGAGCTTACTCTTGTCCTCACCTATGCTCCTCAGCCCACCCCAAACCTCACAGACACCAGGGCAGGTACATGGCAAGCTCAGGGACAGTGCTTGTTATGATGTAGATATTAGGTGTTCCCTCTAAAGATCTTGTGTGAGACAATACAAGAAAGCATAGAGATACAATGATTGGGTTATAAAAGGTTTAACCTAATCAGTGCATTAATCCCCAGATAGGGATTAACTTGGTGGTGACAGGGTATGGCTGCAGGAAGTGGGTCCCTGGGGGTATGTCTTTGGGGTTTATATTTTGTCCTGGCGAGGAGCACGCTCTATCTCTCTGCTCCCCGGTGTGATGTCTTACGCTGCTTTCCTCCACCACACCTTTCCACCATGATATTCTGCCTCACTTTGAGCCCGAAAAAAAATGGAGCCAGCCGTCTATAAATTAAGACCTCTGAAACCATGAGCCCTGAAATAAACATTTCCTCCTCTATTGTTCTTGTCAGGTCTTTTTGGTCACAGCAGCAAAAAAAAAAAAAAAAAATGCTGACTGAAACAGTGTTTGAGCAGCACTGGGTTCTGGGCTCAAGATGCCCCCTTCCCTCTAATGTCTTTCCCACGACACCCACTCACCTCCCTAGAAGGTTTACATCATAAGATGTTTGGATGATGTGTGGGGCACCAGACACTGCAGCAGAGAGCAGCAGCCTCGGACGATTGGTGAGCAGGGCCTCCTTCTGGAAGGCACTGAGGAGCTCCTGGCAAGAAAGAACCACACAGAAGAGTCCCGTAAAGAAAGCATCATCCAGGAAACTTTGACTGAGCTCCTTAAGCACCATCTGGGGACACCAAGGTGAGGCAGAAACAGGCCCTGCCCACAGCGTGTGAGGAAGACAGATGAGCCAGCAAGTAGGGATTTGCCAGAGGGAGGCAAATAAACTGCCTGAGGGAGACCAGGAGACTGCACCAAGAAGGCATCACCTAGAATAGAGGACTGGAGCAAGAACCCCACACAGACAGAGAAAAGAGCAACCACAGGACCCCTGCTCAGCAGCAAGTTGGCCCAGTAGCTCCAGTGTGATGGCAATAGAAGAACATTCTGGTTCTTCTCTCCTGCCCCTGGCCCGGCCTTGTGCTCCCCCTCTGCCATGAGCCCAAATATGATCAAAAGTAGAACCATTTCTGGATTCTGGAGCTTCCAAACTAGACTTACTTCAATTAAGAAAAGAAACTTCCATCGGTCATGCGTGGGGCTGTTCCTCAGTCCAGGGTATAAGAAGAAAAGGTCGAGACCATCAAAGTTGTGTGTCCTCAGGAGGGATATAGCTGAATTAATAAACTTTTCACGGTTGTCGAATGTGTGCAGCATAGAGGTGAACCTGCAGGGAGAGCAGGGCTGAGGCGACACAGCCACCTTCAGGGCCCCTTGCAAGTTTGCCTGCTGCCAAGGCGCTTGGCCTCTCCCTCCTGTCTCCCCAGTAACTACTCCAGTCCCTGTGCTGGACCTAGCACTGACATTCTTTCTCGGACTGGACTGGGGAGGAAACATAAGCCAATGGCCCACACTTCCAGAAGGATCAGTGAGCTCTTTTGGGCCTGGGCTACATAAATTGGCACAAGAGGTCAGGGATCTAATAAGGGGTTTCTGGTCCTTGGCCCTTTTCTTCGTTTACTTAATTGATTTTTTTTTTTTTCTATTTCAGTTTGTTTTCTCTTCCAAAGTGAAGATACTTTGGGGAAAAATTAGAACTACTTAAGCTGAATTTCAAGCAATTCTAGGAGTGCTCTGTGGATAATGATTAGAAAATAGCCAGACTCAGAGATAGATGGGCCTGGATTTCATTGTCTGCTTGCCACCTCTCAGCTGGGTGCTCTCTGACAGACACTTGGGAGAAATATGGCAAGTTCCTTAATACCTGGGCCTCTTCTTTTTCTGCTGTCTTGGAATACCAACAACCATTTAATAAGTTTCTCCCCAGTGGCCACAGGTAATGTGTACAGTTCTCAGCCCAGCATCTGGCATGTGGCACGTGTTCGAGTAGGAAAGGAGAAGCCTGGTTTCAGGCTGAGCCAGTTGTTAGCTCACACCTGAAATCCTTTCTCCTTCATATCTGAATATTCCTAGCAAGGGGCAACCTCACACATTCCAGGCCACCAGCTCTCTCTCTAAAAGTCCTGCCCCCAGGCCTCAGCCATCTCCACATTGCCTCATGGAGGGTGCAGGGTTGACCAGAGCACTAAGACAGGCGCTTTATTTGTTTCTTTTTCTCAAACACTGCCCTTTGTGGTGGATACCACTGGCTCCATTTATAAAGTGAGGAACCCCAGGCCCTGGGAGGGTTGGGTTTATACTTCTTGTCCTGAACAAAACTCCTCTCCTCAGAAACAAGCAAGACCCCTGCTTCTTATGGAGGCTGAGGGTTCTTTGTGAGTACCCTTTTTGCCTCTCATTTCCTTTCACTCCCTTTCTCACCAACTGCTGGAACTTCCAGCAATTGACCCTCCATGGGTCCTTGAATCCAAGGCCAGATCAGGACTTGGGGAGGTGTCTGCAGTAGCTTTCCTGTCCTCGCAGCCAAGCTAGCTCCCGCGCACGTCTAGCCTCTTGGCTCCACCTTCCAGAGAAGATGATGACAGCAGGGTCTCACCTCAATGTGCCAAAGTTCCACCCTCCGATGGACAGCAGTGTTTTCAGCTCCCTGTTCCTAGGATGTGAAAGAGAGGGTTACTACGCTGGGTCCTCACACCAGCAGGAAGCTACAGTCATATTGGTTTTTCTTCACTCAATGGAATAACAACAGGAAATGAGGGATGGGAGACAGGGACAGGAAAGGGAGAAGGCTGGTGAAGGGAAGGAGAAAGAAGAGCACAGGATCAGGGAGGAAAGGAAAAGAGGGATTTTCAATTAACCCAAGGGTCATCACAGCCTCACAACTCCAAGGCCACACAAAGTTCACCAAAATCCCTATGTCCCATAATGTTTCCAGAACAAAAAGAAAGAGTAGTCTGAAATGTTTCTCTTCACTTATTTTCTTACCTGACAAATATTTATTGAGCAATGACTTTGTGCCACTGACTGAAAGCTCCTTACTTTCAGGGAGATTGCAACCCTGCCCATCTATGGCCATCGGTGTAGTAACAAACCTTCCCTTGGGCAGGGAAAGAACCCAGAAGTTTTGGGAGGGGAGTACTTAAGCAAGCACTTACTGAGCACCAACTCAGTGCAGGTACTGACCTAACTGACTGACTGGGAGACCTAGAGATAAAGGAGGCACTGTCCCTACCCTTGAAGAGCTTGCAGCTTGGGGTTTACAGGTGACAAATGGTAATAAAGACACTAAACATTTGTTGAGCATTTGCAATGTCCATGCCCGCTTTGAATCACCTTAACAACATTAATATCTGAAATCCTCACATGGACTCAAAGGGTGAGTCGGGGTTTGCTAGGCAGAGAGGAGAGAGATCATGTTCCAGGGGGAGACAACAGCAACTAGCAAGGCAAGGAGGCCAGAAGGAGCTCAAGGTCTTCCGGTAACAGGGAATTCTTAAATTAGGAATGCTTGAGGATAGGGCTGGAACAACCAGAAGAAAGAGAGCAACTGGAAGAATGGGCTTAATTCCCTTATATCTATAAAGTCTGAAAATACAATCCCACCTCCAATATGAACATACCTCTCCTTGAGTTTGTTGAACTGTGGGTAGAGAATTTTTTCATCTTGGAGAGTCTCGGGAACAATCTGATTGTTGCTCATTGAGGCAAAGGCAAATATCAGGTGGGTGCAGAGAAAGGGGTCCAGGTCAAGGGGGAAGATGGAGGCAGATTCAGGGCGTCCAGGTGCCCAGTTGGTGAAATAACATACCAGCTTGTAGGCAGCACCTGATCAGGGACAGCATGCATTAGTTGGCAGAGATCAAGGGAGGGGGCAGGGCCAAGAGGCCACTCTCCCCATCCACATGCCCCAAAGCTTTTTGAGGTCCGGTCCCTTCCCCACTACTGAAGTTCTGGGAGTGGGGAGATGAGTTGTGAAGTCCTGTTCTGAATGGACCCTCAGGTCTGGATCCTGACACAACAGTGAGCAACACAAACTGCAGGTGATCAAACTTCCTCTGCAGAGCTGCATGGAATCAGTAATCCCCCATCTAGGCACCTGGGCAGGATGGGGCTGCAAGGGACACTCAGTGCAGATGACTTAACAGCCAGAGAATCTCCTTGGCTCTGGAGGGGAGAACACAATTTTCTTACCTTCCTGGTGTTTCAGTACAAGAAACAGAGCTGCAGGAAAGAAAGAAAGAGTCACACACAGATTTGTGTACACATCCAGAGTGGAATGCCCTACATACCATCCAGTTAGCAAGTGCCCCCACCAACGGGGCACCATGTCCAGATGCAGATGCACACATGGGGACACACACACCATTCACACATTTCCTCTCCTCTGAAGTTGAGCCAGTGGATCTAGATCTACATTCCTCTTCTCTCTAATAAAAAGTACTGTACACACACACTTTGCACAGGGACAAGGAGTTAGACGTCCCAGTGAAAGCTCTAAGCCAGTGGATGGAAAGTAGAAGGTACTGGTATCCTGGCTCTTCCCTCGGAGATTCTGATTTAATTGAGCCAAAGTGGAACTCAGGTTTAAAAATGCCAAATATGCAACCAGGTTGGAGAACCACTACTTCCATCCTCCCCCCTCCCGGTTATCTCTGACCCTTCACTATATTCCAACCCATCTCTATCTAATCCAGACCCCCCAGAGTCCCAGGCTGGCTGTTCTACTGAGCACTGAAGAGACAACAAACACATGAAGGCTGGTAACTCCCGACTGAGTGACATTGCTGGAAACTGTCAATACTCACCAACCCATAGCCACAACTTCCCCATCTCGGTGGTTTAACAGCTGTGAGGCCAAAGTTTGGGCCCATTTATAGGAGCTAGCTGTAGCCCTGAATAGGCCAACTACACACACACACACACACACACACACACACACACGCCAGGATCAATGATTTATGAGAGTCACAGTGACCCCAGAACCTCCTGTCCTCCCTCTCCAGAATAGCTGTAGATCTTGGAGCCAACAAAGTCGCAGCCCTTGGCTGACACAAACTGAGCGTCCACCATGGGCAATGGCAAGGGTAGGGCAGCATTCCTGAGCTCTTCCTGGTTCTCAGTCTCACTTCCTGGTATTCGGCCCCAAGTGGACCGAGTATGGTGGAGAAACACTGTATGAAAATAGTTAAGTCTTTTTTTTTTTTTTTTTCAAAGAGAGAGTGAGAGACAGAGAGTAAAGAGAGAATTTTTTAATATTTATTTTTTTAGTTATCGGCGGGCCCAACATCTTTGTTTGTATGTGGTGCTGAGGATCGAACCCGGGCCGCACGCATGCCAGGCGATCGCGCTACCGCTTGAGCCACTTCCCCAGCCCCGAAAATAGTTAAGTCTACTGTTACAAGTTTATTGGTTGGGGAAACAGTGTGATATAAACTTTAAAAGTTCAGCTTGGACTCAGACTTTTGAATCCAAGACTTGAATCTCACTGTCACTGTTTAGAAGCTTCATAATCATGGACAAGTTACTTAGCCTCTGTGAGATTCAGTTTATAAAATGGAGGTAACAGCTCATACTAATCTTACAGGGTTTATAGAGATTAAAGAAGTAATGCATGAAAATTGTTAGTTCAGTGCTTTGCACTCAAGGGCTCAATGAATGGTTGCTATTATTAGGGATGTCAAAAGGGTTACCCAAAAGAGCTGGATTCTCAAACTCAGATGTTGACACTCACCAGGCAGGTCATGTAAACATGTCAAATGGAGCACTCTTTACATTATTTGAATAGCAGCTGAACCCAGAGACAATATCTACAGACATGAAGCCTCTTAGGAGACAACGGAGATAAGTATGATCAGAGGCAACTCTGAGCAGCTCGCAATGGTTGTCCTGCAGGGAAATGGGCCCAGGATTGATAGATCCTTTGACTTCTCCACAGAAGACAAAAACCTGCATTTGTATGAATCAACAGTGTTTGAGCTAGTATATGGGTCAGTAATGAGTATGTATCATGAATCTCAAGAGGATGCTAAATATAAAAAAAAAAATCTAGAATTCACAAGGTAAAAAAAGAACATGGTAAATATGATACCGGATAACTGAGAATCAATTTTTAAAAAATATAGAAACAGTATGAAGATAAACAAAACAGATCTGTCAGTCAGATGCTTTGAGGATTCATCAGTTTTCTTTGTCTGATGCAGAAGTTCTCAACCATGTACACATCCTCTCAGAGACTGGTGCTGCTAATCCACGTGTACCAACATGAGGTACTAAGCAGATGTCAGTGTAACACACGACAGGGAATAATAATGACAGTGATCAAATCTCCAAAATATCTATCTTCATTTCTAGTATGAAGAAACCAGGAAAGCCGTTGTTTTAAAATCAGTAGCTTGCTTGGATACAATGGAATAAAGATAATCAATGGTACAGAATGTTTGGAGGGGATATTTCACTGAAACTCTGGGAAATCCTGATGGACTGCACCCAACCAAGATGATGTGTCCATTTGTTCACCATCTTTTCCTTCCATTATATACTCAATAAACAATTCAAAAAATATTCTTTGGGCCTGTGCCAGGCCCTGCTGGGTACTAAAAACTTAGCTTCTTCTTTCAATGACCTTGTGGTCTAGTGAACAGATTGATCATGTCCCCAGAGCTGGTGTGTGTCTTTTTGGAGAAGTAGCATTATGGGTGCAGTGAGGAAAACAACAACAACAAAAAGTTTTCTTGTCAGACATGGTATCCCATTCCTACCATATACCATACCTGGGGCCAAGTGAGTCTCACCTGTGCCCTCCATACCTTTAACTACTATTAGCCTGAATAAAGAGATGAGAATTACACCTCCTGAGGTCCATACTGGGTCAGACTTGGCAACAACTTCTACCACTGGGAAGAAGATTCCTGGTGTGTTTAGTAACTCCAATGACCATGCTCTTACTTGCTTTCCAATTCCTACTTGCCTGCCCTAATTCTTGTTACTGGGTCTGTTTTGATGTCTATTCCTGTTCTGCAACCATTAGCTCACAGTTGGTTCCTAGGGTCTGGGGCCCGAGTCATCCCAGGCTCCTTCTACTGAACAGCCTGAGGCCTCACTGGCTGTTAAGACCTTCTTAATGTGGAAAGCCTGCCTCTCTCTACTTCTCAGGCTCCCTACCCCACACTGCATCCCCTGCCACCAGAGATTCCACATCACTGAGGTTCCCTACTAAGTTTGTGCCCTTATACTCACACTTCGGCCAGGACCAGCCATTAATGCTCTATCCATCACAGAAGCCAAATTTCTTTGCCAATCTGAACCTCGTTCATCTGCACCTGAGTGGGTTCTCTGGGCTCCTATCCTACTGCAGGGCTTGTGCCTGGATCTCAGACCTGACCTCTCCTTATCGAAAAAAAGTGATTGATGATGCCAAGACTGCCAAAATCTAACAATGGGAGCCCAGGAATGACCTCTGCTTAACTCAGGGATGACAATACCAGAGTTGGCAATTACAACTCTGTGTGTATAGCAAATGATGAATAATGAAATGCTAAATGGGGGTTATGTCGAAAATCAGTGTCATCTTGCTCTGTTTGCTCACAATCCTCTCCCTTGAGTTCTTGCTGTCAAAGGGAAAAATAAATGCAATCAATGCTTTTTCTTACCCCACCGGGATACTTGGAAAATATCCCTCCTCAGTGCTTAGCCTATTCTCCCGACATTTACAAATGTATTTTACTTGAGAACTAAAGAAATTCTTACAATCAAGTAAAAAATTTCACACATGTAGCTCAGAGTAACTGGCAAGAGTTTATTGAAGGGATAGGCAAAGAGAAAGGGGGCACTCTCCAGGAGGAGTGGGTCCTCTTAGAGAGGAGAGGGATGAAGGACACCCTCATCATTATACAAAATACATGTATGAAGATGTGAATTTGGTGTTAACATACCTTATATATAATCAGATATAATAAATTATTGTATAATGAGGTGTATTAAGAATTGTAATGCAAAAAAATAAATAAAAAGAGGGATGTGTGCCTCTTCTGCACTTATTTTATTGGGGATCCCAGATAAGTTTCCAGAGGCCCACCCAAATTCATCTCTTAACCTTTGACTGACAGCAGAATGGTATTAGACTTTCAAGTCTCCACTACCATGACAACTTTAGGTCGCTTAGGCTCATATTGACTGGTTCTAATTGGACTCTTAAACATATATTTATTTATGTTTAAATATTGTTATCTCCCAAGTTTAAGGAGCTGGTTTGTAAAAAAAAAAAAAAAGGTCACAAAGTCTCCCCCTTCAGGTTAACTTGGTTCCTCTTATTGACATTATTTCAGGCCTGTATTTCTCCTATGGCTAACAGGTAGTTTGCTGGGGAATGTAACATATCCTGTTCACTTAAGCCAGGCAGGGCTGCAGATAAATTGCTTTTGCAAAAGAAAGCATGTGGGGGACCAGCACAGTAAGCCCAGTTTACAGAACTGTGTTCCCACCACTGACATTTGTTCCCTAACACCCACATCTCCTGTCGTTTCTAACTGCTGTCCTGAGGAAACATGACTAGAGGTTCCAGCAATTAGAGCTTGGGTGTTTCTGATGCTGTAATGTGATTGTGAACTGGTTACATTCCCTGAAGCTAGTGAGATCCCTGAGAATCAGCCCAATGTCTGACACCAGCTGAATCTGGGTAAACCTTCTTCAGTGTTCTTTGGTTCCAAGTATTACTCAAGGAGTGAGCCTTGAATAGTCCTTGCCAGAAATCAGCAGTGGAATACAGTGGATTAGGCAATAGTGGACTTCAGAATAATTAAATTGAATTGATTCACTTTCACATTCAAAAATTTCAATCAGTGAAATTAAATGCAAGACATTTTCCTTTTTTGTGTGTATGTGTATATATATACAATTTTTTTTTTTTAGAAAAATGACCTCTGCTTAACTCAGGGATGACAATACCAGAGTTGGCAATTACAACTTTGTGTGTATAGCAAATGATGAATAATAAAATGCTGAATGAGCTTTATGTCGAAAATCAGTGTCATGTTGCTCTGTTTGCACACAATCCTCTCCCTTGAGTTCTTGCTGTCAAAGGGAAAAATAAATGCAATTAATGCTTTTTTTATACTCCTACCTGGATACTTGGAAAATATCCCTCCTCAGTGCTTAGCCTATTCTCCCGACATTTACAAATGTATTTTCCTTGAGAACTAAAGAAATTTTATTGCTTTGCTACTAAAGGAAATACACTGGGGACACCTGTCCCAGAGTCTGCCATTCTACCTATCGGGGAGAACAGAAGAGCTTTTCAAGAGGTGATTCAAAGGCTACACTGCCCTTGACCCCACCATGTGCCTGAGTAGGGTTACAACTCACTGGTTAATTTTGGAGATTCCTATTTCATGTGGTGGGTGAACACCCAAGGACAAAGAGGTGATTTAAAGGCAACATCCCCACCACCACCACTACCACCCACACACCCACCCCTCCACCACCTTGTGTCTAACAGGGGTCAAAATTCACTTATTAATTTTGGAGATTTCTACTTCATGTGGTGGGTGTCCTCAGGACAAGATTACTCAGCCTAGATAGGGAAGAAGGGTAATCCTGCACCCCCTCCCCAAGATCAGGGTGTTTGTATGCTTTTAAACAAAGCGATTCCATTGCTCCCTGTTGTAGGTAAATTCCATGCTCACTCTACTGAAACTCTTCTCATGACAAAGACCTAGTAGACAATTGCCCCAAATGACATCATACTCCTGATTATTTTGAGGTCACCTTCTATTTTGAACTATCTTCTTGGCTCACCATAACATACACTGAAAATTGTGCTGGTCCCTCCTGCG